CTATTCTTCATAGAACATGAGTAAAATCTGAAGTCTAAACGATCATTGTAGGTTAGTGTAGTGTTTTGTATGGCATTTACATTTTATCTCTGCTGTCAGTTTGTCATTACCTGAGTTCATCCTGTATTCCTGCAGCAAGGCAAATATCCGTAATGTTTGAGGGATGAGCTCACATTTTGTCTCTCCGAAACATCAGACAACTGGACTCTAGACGATCAATAAGCGGTGCAAACACTGGTAATATATTTACAGAGAGAGCAGAGGGAGGAAAAGAGAGGTAGCGAGATGAAGAAAAAGATAAATGACTGCAAGTTAGCGTTTAGAGTGGCAGCAACTCACCCTGAGATAGAGTGGAGGAAACTGAAGTGGCCTGGTGTCTCGTCAGTTTCAAGGTACACTGACATTACACACACACACACACACACACACACACACACACACACACACACACACACACACACACACACACACACACACACACACACACACACACACACACACACACACACATTGTGTCAATATAATAATAGACAGGCTGATCTGATGATTGAGACAGGCAAGAGGAAACCCAGATGGTGTTCTGATACAGGAGGTAGCTTTTAAGGTACAGGACAATAGCTGCTACTGTAGAACCAAGGCTGGTGTCGGGTTCATGGTAAAGGAGTTGGCAAGAACTACCAGGATGTTCATCTTTATAATTTCAGAAATATACTGCGGTCTGATGTAGGTACCATCTTGATAAGTAGACATGTTGGCGTGAAATCAGATGTCGGCAAACAAATACCAGTATATATGTTGGTGTCCACCACGCTAGCTGTGATATTGGGACTGATATGCAGTATAAGGTGCAGGTTAAAGGAACAGTTTGAAATCATGTATGCTTATTCATTTTCTTGCCCCTCTTGTGTCTGTACTTCAGATATAAACCCAGCAGCCAACTAACTTGGCTTAGCCTGGCACTGTTCGAAGAAATAACATTGAACATTAAAATTCATTCATGCTTTTCAGTGAGTGGCTCATTCATTAGTGTTAAGTGCAGCAATTATAACACTTTGCTGTGGGTTGATTTCACAAAGATGTAATGCTCATGTGCTTGTACTAAAGGGATTGGGTCTCCTGTCTTGTTACTGCTGCAATTCTTTGTTAGCTCAGCCTTTTCAATCAAATGTCAACCATCTCCTATCGGTCAGTTTTGTGACTTCAGTGTCCTTGGTTGGAATTAGCTTGTCTCTGTTTGGTCTGCTTTGGTTCTCTGAATTGTTGTAATTTGGTCTGATTTTGTATGGGCAAAAAAGCAAATTGAAATTGTTTCCAGTTTAGTGCCAACTCCCGGGATGATTGAAGACGCCTGCAGTGTAATCATCCAACTATCAGTTACTAATATTACTTAGTTAGTCATTATTACTAGTTTTAAGTCCTTTTGGGGACCTTTGTTGCATTTCAAGGATAAGTCTGGCGTTTCATATATTTTCATATTGTAAAAGAAATAATATCCTAAAACAAACAACAGCTATCAGCGATTTTTACCCCCGAGCAAATTGGTTCTCACAGACCGCACAAACCTTTTAAAAGTGTCACAAGATGGTTATTTTATTCTTTTAAAGGCTGGATCATTTCCATAAACAGACAAGCAATTTGTCTTCTTTTCTGGAACACCATTTATTTTACCCTTCTTCTAGCTTTTGCATTTCCTGCGTTTCTTCCTGCTTATAGCAAATCTTTCCCTTTGCCACTTTGAAACAATCTGATGCTAGTGAGAGGACCGACTGCACACATCGCCATAGCAACACAGTCTTAATGATGGCAACAAGCGTGACCTGAAGATTTCATTTGAGAGCGTCTGGGAGAGGGATGGAGTGTGAAGCCACAGCTCAATTGACTCCTCAGTTATGCCCTCTAATATGGTTTCCTCTCACTTCTCCCTCGACTTATTAATCAGCTCTCTTCCTCTTTTTCAACGGACAATAATGAGGCTGAATTGACACTTGATCGCGCTGGTTGGCCTCGTCTGTTTGGTAACCACCATGGTGAAATCTAATCTAACTCCTTAACACAAATAAACCATAGCTTCACACATGGCCCCAAACGGCGCTCAGTGTTTATGTCATTATCTCTGAGATGCTGGTGCTGCTGACCTCATGGAGCAAGTTACCAGAGGTTGCTATGGTTACACAGAAAAGAGGGCGACACTTCCACCTTAAAGGTGTATCTGAAGTGCAAGCAAAGATGAACATCTAAAATAGGATATGAATTTAAAAAAAAATCCAAATGAAAGATATCAGTTTGCATTCCTAGACAGATCATTTTTGATCTGTAAAGCAAAACACACACACACACACACACACACACACACACACACACACACACACACACACACACACACACACACACCACAGCTTATTTTGCCCTCAGGACCTCAGCCCAGCTCTTCAGCTCAGTCTATGACCCTGACATTGGGGAATGTATTAAAATATATGCTAAGCATATTGTAGTTTAGCTGGAGGCTCTCAAACCGTAGTCCACAAACCAATTGGTAAAGCGAGATTGCTACGTCCACTTCTTAGTAAATGTTAAGATATGTTTCTAAGTCTTTTTTTCTTGACCCTTGTTCGTGCATTACATTCACAGACATGTGTATTACATCACATGAGTCAGGAACCTCTTTTGAACATTTCTCTCCTTTCTGTCACCTCCTTTCCTATCATCTCTTGACTGAAAAAAAAAAAGAGAAACATAAATGCCTGCCTATGCTCCAGCTATCTTACATTAACCTTTATTCAGCCGGGCATGACACGTTGGAAGTTATCAGTAAACACACGTCTACCACTTTGTTCCTCTGAGCTGGATGTACCACAGGCTGATGTTAGCTGATATGGTTGCAGTTTGTTTGACAGCAAAATAAACCTTTGTAATACTTTGCCAAACATTTTGTAATAGGTGCTCTACCTCCACTGAGCTGTTATATTTGTATGTTATCATTTCACATGATTTATCCCAGTGAGCGTTTGGTGTAAGCTGCTGATTAGGATTCATCAGACATACACTATTAAATGTGCATAAAATGATGCCTTATTATATTAGTGGATCCTCCACTAATTGTCTGTCATTTTTTTTTAAATACCATGAAGAGCATTCCGTCTCATTTAGTGCAGCTGTAAAGGACAAAACATGCTTAAGGATATAGTTCTTATTTATTACAAAGTGTTTGCAAATATTTCATAAACATTAAACATCTAGTAGCAATTTAAGTTTTTCTTACGCAATGTATAAAATAATCCATTGAGGTTTTGTCTGTTATGAGATGCAGATGTTTGCGTTCTGTTCCAGTTTAGGGCTACTTCCAGTCTATTGTTAATCTTTATGATTGATGCAGCTTTAAAGAAGACGGTAGCACACAAAAACAAACTCATTATAAAAAGTACTTCAGGCAGTTTTGGTTTGATTTAATAGTTAGATTGAGTAGACCATATTTTATGACTTCTGTCTTCCTGGGGTTATTTAACATATGGAGATTTGTTTTTTTTATGGCATTAAGATTTTAAATTACTTTCTCACTGTTAATGTACTAAAATGGCTATCAGTGCTCCAGGGTAAAAGGGGGGGAGAGAGAGGGAGTGTGTTAAAGCTATATTCTCTTGTTCTTCTCTATTTCCAGACTCTAGTAAAAACTAGATGGGTAACAACTTACTTTACCAATGTTTTAAATTAATGTAAATATGTCTTTATAAGAAAGGTTGTTCTTTAATGCTCTTTTATTGGCTTTTAACTTTAACAAATGTTGACACACTCTGTATGAATGCTTAATAGAGGTGGCTAAAGGGATGAGAGGGATGAAAGTGACCTACTAAACCTAAACAAAAGATTATCTCTTATCCTCTGATCTAATTTTCTATGCAATTACAAAAGACAATCTTTAAGACCAGCCTCATTTAATAAAATGGGTTTACTGAAAATTAGCATGACCTAAAAAATCTGATAAAAATGTGTTTTCGGTGAAATCCCCCATGTGTAACAATCTGAAGTGTCTGTGAAATATGATTATGAAACTGTTGGTTTGGCTGTAGCTGTAATAAGCGACAGAAGGGAGAAAAGATTAAAAGGAAACTTCAATTCGTCATAAGCAACATGGCAGCGTGAAGTGACAGTCACCCTATCTTTCAGAGCTGCTGCCTTTTGAAGCTCGCACTGATGAGAAGAACCGTCTATGTGCACAAACGTGGAAGATACGTTGTTTGTGATAAACAATCACTGACCAAAAAAAGAGAAGCCCCAAATAGAGCTGCTGCTGCGACGTGCCTCTGCGTTTATATTTGAGGTTTTTACTTATTATGAAATCGTTTTTTGACATATTCTGGCCACACTAGTAATGCTTAAGAAGCACAACATTGAAACTCAAACGTTATAAATCATGCAACACAGCTAATAGAGAAAAACAGCAAATGTCAGAAGCTGGAAGCAGCACATTATGATACATTTAGTTGTTAGCATTTGAACCCCCTGGAAAAGAACAGTTTCCATTTAGAAAACTTTCAATACTGTGTGTCTTGTTCAAGGAGAATGGTAATCATTGAAATCTGCACAACTTTGTCTCCTGCTGTAACAATGCCTGAATCCTGTTGTTGCCGAGGTGGTGCTGCAGTCCGTCGTGATTTAAGTAATTCCTCTACTTACTAAAATAGCAAATCTTACTTGTCAGCACCCACATGTACCCATCAACCCACATGAGTTGTATTATGTCTCCAGGGTGTGGGCCTAGATGGAAAGAGGACAGGGGACTATGGAAGTGAAGGATGCTGGTATTCTAAATAAAAAGCACAAAGGAGTACAAGACATGCAGAGATATACTGAAGCTGTTGTTTTGCTGTTAGTCTCTGTTCAGAGTGACATTTAGAGTTATTTCTTGTGGCAGTATTGATTCTGCCTCTGTGAAAATGGCTGGTTTGTGTGAGTTAGTTAAATCCACAAATCTCTCCTCTCTCTGTTCTGTCCTCTTTCCCCAGAAACCAAGGCGGAGCTGGAGGATCTCATGGCAGACATCAAGAAGTTGGCCAACAAAGTACGCTCCAAATTAAAGAGTGAGTATATATAATTATTCTGTTTTCAATTGCTGAAGCTAACGTAAAATAGTATGTTCAGTAGTTAATGAGTTGCAGCTGGACTTCTCAGCGTGAGCCAGCTCCATACAGAATTTGTTACACATGTTTACTTCAAAATACTCCCCAATAACTCTTCCCAAGTTAATTTTAGACCAGGAGCTTTGACGTTTGGCAAAATAGATTAAGTATCTCTTCTTCAATTTTCACCCAGAGGTGGTATATCACTTTTTAGAGTTATCTAATATCTAAGGTATGTAAGGGGGTCTCCCGCTATATTTTGCAGAGTAAAACTTAGTACATACAGAGATGCTTTGTGAGATATAAATGATTTTACAATACATAGATATAGGGAGGTTCCTACCACCAAAGTTGAAAACTAATCGACAGAAACTTAATCCACTATTTCCTTCATGAGTGTTTCATAATGAAATCACAAGGGGTAACAATAGAGAGACAGGGAACTGTAGCTTCTGACAGCTAGCATACAACCTCAGTCAAACTCAGTGAAGAGTCTGACTTGCTTCAGAGGTGGTGGATGTGGTTCATATGCATGGACACACTTTTGTTCACACTGGTGTGCAAACGTAACACACTAATGTTACGATACTATGTGCAGGCCTAATGGATGAAGCTGGTCTGAGATCTTACTCCTTGACATACTTATAGTGTTCAGTGTTGTGTGTATGTGCCTACAATTCTGACGCATGTTTCTCTTTCTCCTTTTTCTTTTGGCATATACCAAGAGTTTACCATATTCAAAAGCAAAGCTTCTGTCAATCACATAACCTTTTTTTCCATTACCCAAACTCTCTCCTGTGCCTCCCTAACAGGCTCCGTTGTCAAAGAATCGAGGTCAGGGATAAAAGATCTGTATACAGTATATTTCAGGGAAGTAGAGCATAACGTGATGAGAAAGTGTTGGAAGATAATAGCCCCTTTCTTTCCTACTGCAGGACTAAAGCCATATACTGTATAAACACACTCACACAGTTTCATGTGCTCATACATGTACAGTGGTGCACACAAGTGCTATCAATCAGAGCAGGCTCTGCATCACAGGCTTCTGACGGAGCCACTCCACTCCACATCAGTTGTTGCCACAGGTTACCTTAGTGTGCATGCGTACGTGCTTGCGTAACTACATCCTGGGATAGATCCTCAAGAGGGAACCACGTCATTTACTGTACCTTTTGCCTTGAGATCACTTTCGATCTATGTCATGGATTCAGTGAGTTCATTTACATTTTGGGGTGGTTTCAGACATGTGAACATTAGCAAAAGGGACACCCTCAAATTGCTTCAGAAGTTTTTTTACTAGAAAAGAGTACAAAGCTCCTTTTTCAATTGAAAAATTTGAATTTAAAACATTTCTAAAAGTACTTGTTACTTATAAACTAACTACATTTTCAGTAGGGTTTGAATACACTTTGTAGGTGAGATGAGCCTGAGTCTATGAAGACACAGATTTAACAAGTTCAACGGGTGGCTTTAATAACTCCCACAATTGTTTTGGCAACTTTTCAATCTTACAAATATTTTAGACTACTTGACTTTGTTTTCATAGTAAAGAGAGGAGGTACTTACACAATCAAATGCAGTTTATCTAGATATGAATGTGCAACAAAAAAAAATAGTAACCCAATTATTTATGACAAAGCTCATTATTGTCCGAGAAGAAGGCTATTGCTTTATTGCTATGTTAAACTAAACAATGTGGATATTAATTGTTAGTTAACATATTTACTATATGCTCAGGCTGTTTGCAGACAGGGAGTAGGTTCACTCAGAGCTGCAGGTGTACACATCTCACAAAGGGTCTGATGATGGAAAATGTGCAGGAGCTGGTACAGCCGTCTCATCCCAGTTAAAATGATAGTAACATTGGAATGTAAACGAGCAGGCATTACATCTCTGTATGATTCACATTCAATTTATGATTGCTTCACATGGCCTCACATTGACAGTCTTTAATGTACGCTATTATGCTGGCAGTGGCTCCTCTTCAATTACGTGCTGAGGTGTGAATGTGAGGCAGCAGTAAGGAAAGTGCTGCTCAAGCAGCCATGTGTTGAATTAGAAATTGGTTAGTTTCTACAAAAGAAAATGGTATATTTTTATTTGATCTTATAATGTATCCATATATTTACATTTCTGTATCATCTTTTTTCTTAGATTCGTACTTTTATATGTGAATTTTTTCATACATTTTGTTGAGGGAGCCTGACATCCAAAAGTATTGCCAACGAGGCTAATCTGTATCTGATGTGCATATAAAAAATAACTACAAACTAGATACTAAGATATCTGAAAAACAATTAAGGATTTGTATTACTTACTGAGAGTTATTACTTATTTTAGATTAAAAATTGGTTTTTAATCTCTGTAAATCCTAAATCCTAAAACTCTAAGGACACTAAAATCATCAGTGCAGTTTGTTTCATTCAACACTTTTATTTGGTTTGGTGTAATGAACCTCTAAAGACAACTAACAAGACTGCAGTCATAATGTTTCATTTCATCTTTTTGTTCATTTTAAAAGAGAGCACTCTCGCTGATGTTGAATGCACATTTTATTGTATCTTTGCAGGTATCCAAAACTCCATTGAGCAAGAAGAAGGTCAGAACAAGTCATCAGCTGACCTGAGGATACGTAAGACGCAGGTACAGTTCAATTAAACGTACTTATTTTTGCTCGCCAACATCTGCTTAGAACTGTTTCACTTTTACCTGCAGCTCCTCCATATTCCTCTCGCCTGTTAGCATGCTCACTGACTGCTTTGAGTTTAATTAATGTTGTCACTTCAGTGGGAACACACTATATACACAAAACTGACTCAGAATAGTACTGTAGTATGTATTAGGGAGACACTGACACTGAATGTCATTGTATGTTTGCACCTGCTGCTCATCGGTTAATATACAATTCAAAGTACTTTTTAAGTCAGTGTGTGATGCTGTTGTTCCTCGCTGTGTCTCCAGCACTCCACACTGTCTCGTAAGTTTGTCGAGGTGATGTCAGAGTACAACACCACCCAGTCGGATTACAGGGAGCGCTGCAAGGGACGCATTCAGAGACAGCTGGAGATCAGTGAGTAGACGTGGGAGACTAAACCCTCCACCACCCTCATACTGACGGCACTCGTGATAACACTGTGAGAATTACAGTTACACATCTGCTTCTCTTCCCAGTTATAGTGTTAAAGTTTTCTAGTTTCTATCAAAACTCATGTGGATTTAGATATTCGTGCCAAAAGCGAGGTGTTATGCATATTTTTCTGAATTATTTTTCTACTTTCTATCGTCCCATTCTTTTAAACATGATAACTTGGAAAGGAAATGTCTTAATATAAAATACATCTTCCAATAACCTTAAGCTTACAGAGGCACTAAATAGATAATAGATCAACACCACTGGGACTTCACCAACTGGTTTTTGGCCTTAACTCAATAAGTCATATGCTAATTAGGGTAATTTCACACAAATCTCTAATAGGATAAAATTATGAATTCATGACATTTTGAACTGACATGACTATAAAATGTAAATTTACTTTTTGGTTAAGGCTTACAAGCGTGATCTACCACATGACAAACCTTCAATGAGGCAGCCACTTTAAATGGGCGGACATTTTTAATCAACTGGGGTCATTTCTGTCCAAAACAGCTGTTCATTTTCATATTTCTCTTTCAACTATTGTGTTAAGTCTGTCTACCTGATATGTCTAAAGGTATGCCAGTACTGCTATATACTATTTATACATTTGTGATTGATGTAATATGTTTCTATGACTGGAATTATAGACATGCAAACTACTGCAGCTCAAAATATTAACAACATAATTGGTCAGATGCATGTGATAAAACGTAACCAGCACAACCTTCTACTAGCGTCATAAACACTTCCCACACATTGTCTTGATAATTCTGTTGGTAAACGTTTTTTCAACAGTCTAAGTAAGCTTAAATGAATTGACACCATCTACTCTACTGGGTATTTGTGGAGTTGGAATTATAAAACCACATGTTCCCCATCGTCTTCTGCAATCTTGTTACCTAAAGTTTGTTACATTTATTATTAATGAAAAAAGAGGCTTTAACGTGGTTTGTAAAAAGGTATTTACCTCAGTTCCAGGCCTTTATTGTCCCCAAGGGGACATTTGTCTGACAGGAAAGTATAACAAAGAACACAGACCATAAAATCTCATAAATATGTAACACAAAGTGCAAATATGCTGGAAACAAATGCTTTGGAGTGTAATTTGACAGCATTACATATAACTCAGAGAGTACGCCCAACCATTATCATCCCACCCAAAAAATTGGTGTTGTTGACAGAAATGTAATTATACAGTATTTTCATTAGAATGTTTCTGTTGTAGTGTAGCAAAACAACAAATCTCACACTAAATCCACTTTCCAAAACACGTGCATCACTAACACCTACACTCATATACTGCACATGCCATGCTGCAGCTCCTCACACTTTGTGTCACACTGTATGCATAATATGAAATGACAGGTATTATCTGCAGGCCCCGAGCTCCTGGACCAGACTCTGACACGGCCCTGTGCCACGACATCGTGGCATGCTGCATCGTGCCGGCTCCTGCTGACAGTCCCTGTGATACAGTCACCTTTTACACAAAGCATGCAGAGAAAAGCACTATGACTCATTTAGTGGTAATAGCAGAGGGGAGCAGGGGCAGTTAGGATGCAGGGTGCTTGGCACAGACGTAATTTCCTCTGGCCATCTGTCAGACTTGCATCAGGTCTGTGTGTGTGAGCACTGCCCACTAAGTCAAAAGAACAGAAGTGACAACACACAGTACTGTCTGGGGTTAATCAATAAACAAACACAAACGCATCCGCATGGAATTAAAGCACACACGTCTGACTCACTTTCCTCTTGAGCTCATCCCGGTTCATTTGGTGTGTCAGCTGAAGGCGTCACAGGAGGCCTTAGCAGATACGACCTGTCGTCAGGGAAGGGATAACAACACACAGGATGGTGTGGAGACAGAGTGAGAGCACAAAGGAGAGGAAAACTTAGGAGTAATGTGGATTTGCTTTTAATGCATTTGAAGTTTAACAAGCCATCCTCCCTCCCAAATGCTGGATTTTTCTATACATAAAAATAAGAGGGTTTACAATTTTTCTTTGGAATAATTTAAGCAATAATGACATGTTAGCTTTCAATAAAACAGTGTAAGCAACCATAAATCCAAGCACTGTCTGCCTGATCTTAATACTGTGTAAAACATGTCCTTAAAACACTGCGGATGTGTGGGTGGGGCAACTTCCTTCCACTTAAGTATAATTGCATGCTAAAAGAGAGGCAAGGGCATGGGTGCCCTGACCCACGACCAAAAGCTGTAATTTATCCAGGGAAAGTCTAAAGAGTGCCACATGGGGATTCTGCTTGATTAAAGTTATGTTTTTGGTTTCAAAGGAATCACATTTATCCAGTTAAGCTTTCCTCTTCAGATAACATTGGTCCTGATTTTGACACACTACAATTCCTTTGTGTTATATGACAAGAGAAGTGTATTTCTTGTTTTGCCTACCCCTTTGACTTGTTTGTGCGTAAATCAATAGGAGTGTGTCACACACAGAGGGACACCTTGTCTCGTATGTCGGACCCAGTATCGATGTTTACTTTGCTGCTTCACTCAGAGATACAGAGATAAGAGAAACAGCGAAGCGATTCTGTCACATACAGTTAACGAGTCAAGAGAGCAGCATTTTTGCCATTATTTGCATGGAAAACTGTGCCACATTAACCCCAAGCCCAACTGCATTTATATCTACCCTCACCAAATCTTTTTCTATATTTATTTAGAATTATTTTGACAAAAATGGCTGCACTTGTTCTGGTTCTTCTGATACTGTAGTTTCCATGTACTGCGGATACTTCTGTCACATATCTTCAAGTCAAGCCCTTTATTTGCAGAATACAATGTATTATTTAACAGTTTGGATAACTTTGATCCCTTTCTTATCTCATTAATAAACAATGATTGTCATGAGTTTGATACGAAACATTTTTAAAATGGATACCAGGTGATTGTACGGTAATTATGAACCTGGAGCCAGGAGATGACAATCACCAACAGATACCAGCACATCTAAATCTCACTCATCACACTTTGCATCTTGTTATATCCACACAAACATCAAAGCATAAAACTGACATGCTGTGGTTTTATTGTCATCCAGTGGTGACTCCATGAAATAGCACAGCCTTTTAAACCACATGACGTTTTCGTACGTTTTCATACCATTCAAACAAACCGACAGGATATGAATTAGGGAATAAACTAGGACAGAACATCTGCCTTTTGGCTCTAGCTTCATGTGTAAATTACAAAGTGATAAAAGTTATATCAATCCTCTTATGTAAATCTCGACAAAAAAGTAACACAAAAACAGTATCGCATCTAATTTATAATAATTATTTTTAGTTTATTAATAACTTCAAATACCACATATTTATTTACCAGCAGGATGTTGGTCACAGGCATCACAGAGCGTCATTGACATTTGATTGTAATGTTTTATTTCCCTGTGGACACTATGCTAAGAGAGACACACTCACAATGCAGGGGATAACAACACATGTCCCCTGTATAGCAGAGAAATTGACCTATATGTGTGCAGATGAGATACGATTTCTCATTCCTTTGCTGCTGAAATTGCTGCGAACAGAAGCCTTAAAAAAAAAAACACTCGCCTCTTTCGCTCTGCATGGGTGAACATTTGTGTGGTTTGCAGAGTTCACTCTGTTCCTTTGGGGGCTCACTTCATTTGTGTTACATAACAATGGAAATTAAACAATACTGTTACTGGTAGCAACATAGTATGAGTGATTTAATTGCCCATAAATGCTACGGTTGAAGTGAGACTTCTTGGCGTCATATTCGGCTTCTCGGGGTTTGGGTCTCCATGGTAACAAATAAGAGCCTCCCTCAGAGCCTGTGTGTGTGTGTGTGTGTGTGTGTGTGTGTGTGTGTGTGTGTGTGTGTGTGTGTGTGTGTGTGTGTGTGTGTGTGTGTGTGTGTGTGTGTGTGTGTGTGTGTGTGTGTGTGTGGGAAGTGAGATAAATAGGGTAGGGTAGCACTAGAGTGCATTGGTTTGGTTCTACTTCACAATTATTCATGACTCATTGTCAATCCTCTCCATCCTTCATCCCCTAACTGTGACCCTCTTTGATGTTGTAGTTTTAGAGTTAATGATGGTGAGATTCCTTATTATCAGAGAGGCCTGGAGAAAAGGGAAATGATCATTGGTGAACGTTGTATATCACTCCTCGTTGTGTCCTTTCATTTGTAAAACTCTAAAATGTCATAGTTGAACATCTCAAGCCCGCTTCTGAAACAGCAGGACTGCTTAACCACAACTAAATTAAATTCATTGCTTTGATATGGATATGAAGTTTGGATTAGGACATGATAGACATGGCCCAGTATATAAATGCGCTCCCTGAAAAACACATGGACACATGTTCATGCACCGATCAACATTTGAGAGCAGCTTCATCAGTATTCTGTTCATGGAGGCAATCATCTGCTACGACTCCCAAACATCGTCACTCACCATCAACCTACCTGCTCTGCACTGAGGCCTTCATCACACATCAAACAACACAATACACACACTGGTTAGGTCATGAATAGAGGTTTATATTTGCCTTCAAAATCTCCTGGGTGCCACAAATGCTGGAGGTCCAGATAGAAAAGGTAGAGCAATATCTGACAGTGACAGCTGTAGCTCCATTGACTTACATTGTGGATGAAAGGGAGTGGTCTGACGATTCACCTTGATTTGGAACTTGACTGTTTGGATGTCAGCAGCTGTGACAACTCATAAATAAGCTAACTTAGCAAAGCTAGTGCTCTTGTAGTAGTTCTGGTGTCTTTTCTCTTTTTCTGTTTTACTGCTGTTTTACTTGTAAAATACTCTTTTGGCCTGTTAAAAGCTCTCAAACGATACAATCTCAAAGTAAAAAATCCAAGTAACATTTTAAGTACAGAAATGCTTTCTCTAAACAGGAGAAAGTTCAACACAGTTTTAAGCTCATTTTGACCTCTGAGCTCTTTTAGTTCATGTGTTTGGTTGAACTGCTGAGATTTTATGATGAAAGCTTCCTTCCTATTTTATATCAAACTCCTTCTCCTTGAAATGCAGTTACTCGCAGATGACTTTAAGTCCTTCTTTTGTCTATTACACCTCAGCTCGTCCTGTAAACCAGGTAAAGGCTTGTGAGGGATGCAGGGTGTCTGCACAGGGAGGAGATAGCCCTGTTCTGTTTATTCTGTTTCTCGCCAAACAGAGGATTTAATGTGCAGCTGAAAGATTGGCGATGATGCTGACGGTGTCTGACTCTGACTTACAGTATCAGTGGGGCAGAAATCAAGCACACGAGAAGCAGCTGTGACGGCAAAGTCAGCGCTCGTAAATGTAGCAAAGAGGTGTCAGGGACTTGTTTATGAAGTGGGTCAACTCTCATTGGGGAAATAAAGATGGAAGAGGAGCAAACTCAACAGCAGGAAGATGTGCTGATACATGCTGGGTCGCAGGTGGAGGGATTGAAAGATTGTTTGGTAATTAAGGCAAATTGAAGGTAGTGAAACAGTAGAGGATGTCACTAACTTTGTTTACTCTTAATTAGCTACACACCTGTATGCACACTTTTGCATCAATTGGAGGGGAGAAAATGTCAAAAGATTATCTTCAAGCATGAGATTCAGTTAACCGCTACAAGCTGTTCGGATACAAACATGATGTTTCTGACTCAGTATTTTCATTCTGACATTCTTTTGAAGACCCTAATATGCTCTGACAACAGAAAATTACTCAAGCTTGAACAGTAGGTTTTATAAGCTGGAGAGACAGAGATATATTCACAACAGAATACTTAGCTTGCATAGTATTCATTTATTTTGTTCCTAACAGTATTTGTGGTTAATGACACTTATTGTATGTCATGCACAGGGTGAAAGAGGGTATATAGAACAAAAGATTAAATGCAGTATTTAATCGTGAGAAGTTTTGGCTGTATTCCTTGACACCGTATAAGCAAATCCATCCAATTCCACTAATTGGTCTATAGATGAAGAAAAAATAGTAATGAGAGCCCCAGTAGAATTCTAGGTCTGTCATTTTAAAGCCTTGATTGCCCTCATACTGTAATTCTACAAGGAGACCATTTCAGGCTGGAGTTCACTCAGCTGTTCGGCTGTTAGTGTTTAGACAGAGCCGTGTGGATATGACTGAAGATGTGTTGAAGTGTGCATGTGGAGGCTAGTGGTTGTGGGCTTTAACTGAAGCTTGTGGTTGAATAAAAGTCTCAAAACATTTAAGATGCTTGGTTGAATACTGACAAACCTAATACGGATGCACGATGATAGACTAAATAATGGCACTCTGGATTTTTATACCACTTCTACCACTGTTCAGAGAGATGCATAAATAAAGAGTTTAAAATGCAGTATGATTAATACCAGAGAGACAGATGGATAGAGAGAAAATGGGCATGTGGAAAGGAGAGCCACACAGCCTAGTTTTAATTAATCATCAAACAGACGGCTGGGGGGGATGGGATTGCTATTATCATACAAAGATTTGTTATTTTCTAATGTGGTCTTCGTCAACTGGTTTGGAGAACCTTTAATCGGATGGTATTGCTCCTACACTTCTTAAATCCTGAGCTTAAACAGATTTGAATATCCTCACATGGTAAAGCTCTTAACACCTACAGACATGATTGCTATTATGGATGTTTATGGATGTGTGTTCACCGTTTTAGCTGGGAGAAACACAACAAACGAGGAGCTGGAGAGCATGTTGGAGAGTGACAACCCGGCTATCTTCACCTCCGGGGTAAGCATGCAATAATGCCAACAAAGCAAATGTTTTAATCTACTTCTATTCCTCTCATAACTCTTTCCATCTGTTGATCCCTTTTAGATCGTTATGGACAATATCACAGAGCAAGCTATGAATGAGATTGAGACACGGCACACTGAGATCATCAAGCTGGAAAACAGCATCAGAGAGCTTCACGACATGTTCATGGACATGGCCATGCTGGTGGAGAGCCAGGTGAAAACATATTCTCTCTACCTACAGCTCTGTGGTTTGTGGCCCAGCCAAATGCATGTCAACACAAACCTGCAAACACATTCATAAATTGGCGATACATTATCCAACATGGACGCACTGACGACATAAATAAGACTTACAAATCCAGTTTGTATATTTAGAGTTTCTCCCTGTCAGTGGTTTAAAAAAGTGCCTTGGCTAATGCAAAAGTTCGGAAGCAGACTGTGTTCACAGTGGTGAAATCATTAACCAGCCATCCTGCTGCAGCAGCTGCTGCTTCTCCCCGTCGTGAAAATAACTCTTCTTCAGACAGACGCAACTGGCAGACAATTTACATACAAGTTGTAGAGGGTATTTCAGTCAGGAGAGACATGTGAATAAACAAAAGATAAAACATCATTACAACAGATGATATGTGATGATAAATCATGATGAAAAGTCTTCAACGCTTAAATTCTGCAGAAAGGTTTGTAATGGAGGGGCGTCTGCCATGAGCAGCAGCAAGATACTGATAATCACCCGATGATGATACGGCAGAGTCTGGGTGGCTGTGACTTAAGAATCTCTGAAAACTGGGCTGAGAAGGAGAGGTTGAAGTGTAACGGCACTAAAAGCAGAGACATAATCTTATTTAATAGAAGACAGCAGAATGATAATAGGCCATCCATGGAGGTGTGTTGCTGTGCTACTGGATAGATGTGACCAGCTGATGAGATCAGCTGATAACATGATTGACAGCCTTGGTTAATCATCACAGTAGGAAATTATGAGTGAGCATGATGAGAGTAGTGAAAGGCAGGATATTTAATAACCTTGATTTTAAATAACCTGCAGGCCTAAGCATACCAAATATTATTCTTCCTCACTGAACCTATACTATTTTCATTAGAGTTAAAGCAGTGGGTTCATCAGTGCTGAGTGTGTGTCCAGAACAGATGTTGGTGCACAAATAATGAATGCCCTTAAAATGAGCTGATAGGAATTTAGTCATTTGGGGATTTATGCCATGAGTCCATTTTTAATTCTAATTCTAATGCTGCATTCAAGAACTGGGGGAAATATGATGTTGGGGTCTTTCAAATTGGCCACTAATTAGCCTTGCTTTAACTTGCTGTTTTATAAGAGACTTAAATCATAAACAAACTGTAATTTTTGCAGGGTTTTGTAAATTGAAAACACATAATTCTCCTGGGGAAGATATATGATTATGTTAGAGAACAGAGGCTCTATATACATTGTACGATGGAACTTGCATCATGCAGTGAGCAGTGCACATCATTGCACGAGTAATATGAAGTTCTCATATAGCTTCTTCATAGACACACATATATATTTTTTTACGAGTTGCCTTTACTCTTCAGTGAAGTGTCTTGCTTCATGTAAATCTGTATGTCTTGCCTGTATATGTGACTGTGTGATTGTCTTAGCTGAACCCCCACAGAGATTCACTGTTTCCCTCAGAAGAAATACTCATTCTGAATTATGCAAAAGACTCTGAGCCCATGCATAAAAGATAATATGCTAAATGACAAATATGAAAGAAAATGGTTGCATTTAAGTGATTTGAATTATAGCACAATGCAATAGCAGACTTCCCCTCATAATTGAAGTCTTGGAGTGATAATTGTGTGTGTGTGTGTGTGTGTGTGTGTGTGTGTGTGTGTGTGTGTGTGTGTGTGTGTGTGTGTGTGTGTGTGTGTGTGTGTGTGTGTGTGTGACAGCAGTTTTTCCCATTCTCACACATATTGGCATCAATGTAATTCAAATATGTCAATGTAATGTAATTCTTATGTGGTTGAAGGTGGTATCAATGTGAGCTCTCACCAACACTACAATGACTGCGTCTCTTTTTTATTGTTCAGGGTGAACTGGTGAACAACATCGAGCGAAGTGTGCTGGGCGCTCAAGAATATGTGCAGCAGGCAAAGGACAATATCCCAAAATGCAAAAAGTTCAAAAAGACAGGCAAACGGGTGAGATTGAAAATGCATATTCAACGAACTGACAAATTATTTCCTTTCTCCCTTTCTGCTTCCCCTTCTCTCTACTTCTCATTCTCACCCATTATTCCTCCCTCCCTCCCCTCCTCTCCATCTGTATCCATTCCTCTTTCTACTCCTGCCTCCACATCTGGCTCCCTCTTTCTTCTTCCTGTCTGCATGTCTTCCACACCTCCTCTTTAACTAACCTCTCCTAGGGGGAAATGATAGACCGCATAGAGTACAATGTGGAGCACTCAGTAGACTATGTGGAGAGGGCAGTATCAGACACTAAGAAGGCGGTTAAATACCAGAGTAAAGCCCGGAGGGTGAGTCTCATATACCACGAAAAAATGCATGTGCACAGACTTGCTATCACATGAATAAATCACTTATGATCGTTGCATGTATTGTTGGCAGTGTGTAACTGTGGACAGAGTGTGTGCATGTGCCATGGTGAGCATTTGTGTCGTGAGTGTAATCTACATTTTCTACAGCAGTGATTTCAAACCAGGGGTATGTGTTCCTCAGGGGATCTAGCTGCAGTTTCCAAGGTGTAACCAATATTTAAAAACAAAATAACACAACTGAAAAACCACTTGCTGCTGAGAGTTCGTGAAATCTGATAAGTAAGCAGTAGGATGGCCTAAATAAATAACTTAAAGAAGGGATGCAGTTTTTGAATGTCCAACATGAACCTCCTTGTCAGATTTTGCTCTTAATAAAAACTACCAAAAACATAATATTGTTTTTTTTCACTTTGGTTTTGCAAGGATTTCACATTTATTTAGTTTGCTTAAGAGGTGCCGATAAGTGGATATTGTGAAGCTTGGACAGAGGCAGGGGAGCTGTTGATTGATGTAGATGAAGGGATATTGAGCTCCTTTCAATGTGCTGTAGGGACAGCAGACAAAAATGACTTTGAACGACTGGGCCACTTTTCATAAAAAGGGTTATTTACTGCTAACTTCATTTTAACAACCTGCACGACAGTGGAACAACTCTGCCACCTCCTGGTTTATATATACAACAGCACTCAAAAGTAGAGGAATGTCATACATCGCATGAACCTTATTTATAAAAGGGTCATCTACATGATTTTATCCCCACTCATAATTAAAGACTAGTATTTTTCTTTATTTCCCTACTTTTGATATTACTCTCAGTTTCTCAATCGTTCTCTTTCTTTATCCAAAGAATATGTATCTGACACAATGCGCTCCTTTCCCCCCATCCAGAAGGTGATGCTGATAGCGGGTTGTATTGCAGCAGGTGTGATCGTCCTCATTATTTGCCTCGCAGCTGGACTCAGTTAGGACCCCTAGGAATCCCTACAGAGCAGACAGAGACAGTTGATGCCTCCCTCTCAGTGTGAAATGTAGAAAGTGAGCTCTGTCTTGCGCAGTCAGTTACTGCTAACTGCTAAAGACAGTTGAATAGTATGTAATCAAAGTTTTTATATATATATATATATATATATATTACTTTTTCAAATACCTTGAGGAACTTTCTTGTGCTTTGTGTCTGCTTGTGTCATGATTCACGTACTTTTGTCATGTGCATGTTCTGCATACTGTATTACATGTTTTTTTTATACATACACAACTCTGCAGAGGTTTGATTTTATTAATTGATCATTTAAAAAAATGGTCTTGAAATAAAAGCTAAATATTTTTGTAAGTGATAAAATGTTTCCCTTTATAAAGTAATAAGGAAATATTTATACTGTTTGGGAAATACATTCATTTAGGTGAGAGGATTGGTTAAGATGATGTGTAACAACAAGTTGCATAACGTTTTCTTAGCATAGAGCAGTGAATTCTGATGTTATTCACTTATTTCACGTTTTTGGGAAAGTTTGAAACATATAAAATATTTATGGTTTACTTTTTTAAAGTTGTTTGCAGTACCACGAGTACCCATCGCACAGATTGGCAACTCGGCTGATTGGCATAAAAGTATTTCTTTTGACATTTCTTTTTTGATTTCAAATTAACTGAACTTTATCAATGAGCTTAAAGACGTGCTCATATGTGTGTGTTTTTTTACCTTTGGACATAGCCACACACTTTTCCCCTTTATTATTTAAATGAAGCTAAGCTGACCGGATGCTGGCTTCAGCTACTCGTTTACTCGTGTATCAATCCTCTCATATAACTTTTTTTCATACTCAAAGAAAAAATTGACAATCTTGGTAAAAATCGAGCCTGTGTATAAGACTGCTGTAAGCCTTTTTCTTGATGTAGTTCCACACATATACTGTAATACAAATAGTGGCTTTAAATATGAAAAAGATTCACATTTGTGGATTGTGTAAATATACATGTTAAATTATTTATGTTTTTTAAAGTAGATGATGTGGAAATGCTTCTTAACCACAGTCACATTCCAAAACATCCTCAGATACATTAAAAGTATTTATCCAAATCTGAATTTTGTCTTAATTTATAAAACATCTTGTAACATGTGTTAAAATAAAATACAAATCATATATCTAACATGTTTTCCTTTGCTCCCCATTTTGCTGCCATGGATAACTGTTTTTCTGTTCTTGTTTACACTTTACAGAAGAAAATTATGATTATTATATGCTGTGTGATTTTGGGAGTTGTCATTGCCTCTATTGTTGGGGGAACGCTGGCTTAAACCTCAACCACAGTCACACAAAGACACACAACCGCACACACAACAGAGCAAAAACACAACCAATACACATTTTCTGTTTCATGTTTTCATAAATGCAAAGTTAAAACATGTTTAGCGCAAGGTGCTTTACATACCGACACATTCTGCGCACGGCGTACAGGGCCAGATGTGTTTTCGCATGAGTTGCTACTTTGTAAATGTGTGATGCTGCTAACGGTTTATCTGAGTGTTGAATGTTGTCAACAATATAATGATGTTTCCAAAAGTGAATTCTTGAATAAAAAGTTACTTAGCGACTTGTAACACTATACTAATACATTCCAACTTCCAAATATGAGAGTTATTCAATTGTAAAGTATATTTTGTGTTGTACAGGCAAAAAGATGGGCCCCTAATCTGCAGTGTTTTCAGAGCCACGTTATCTATAGATACATATTTATTTTTATTTTCCTCTCTGTCTCTGATGTCCTCTACCTCCCTTCAAAAGCTCTGCATGGTTTGGTTCACCGTAAAGTAGTGTTTATTTTCTATTGCAAAGGGGACGACGTGTTGGATATTTTGCTTGTAGAATTGTCACACTGCCAAGTGTCTTTTGTCGTTTATGAAAGTAATGTTAACTTCACTCATCTGGCCTAACCAGTTGTGTTACGACATGCTCTATATTTGTGTGTGAGTGTGTGCATTGAAAAGAGGATATGTTCATTTGTAGTTTCATGTTTGAAAGTACTGAGTGTGAGTCGTGGGATGAGAACATGAGCGTTTGATATTAACCACCTGTGTCTTTGTTTTGTATAAAGTGTAAACAGACTCTCTAACACTGCCAGTATGTTCAAATAAACTGTTCAAAGTCTAGTCTGATATGGATTGGTAATTATGTTCTGTAAGTGGCAAACCCTTGTTGTTTTATGTATTTTTATAAACCACAAGCTTTAAACAGAACATATCCTTCTGTCAAGCTACTTTATTTTTATGAGTGAACATGGTGCGTCAGTGAAAGCATGAACTTAAAGTAGCCCTGTCAAAGACTCTCATGACAAGCACAGACTGTACCCATGTGACCATGTTGCCTACTCAACGTGTTGCCTTTGTGTGGTATTGTAATGACATCGTTTTGTTTGTTTAATATGAGTTTCTTTTTTATTTTCAAGTAAAGTTTGTCTGAAAAATCCCATACAGAGTTTGTGCATTGATTTTACAAAGACATGATGTTTAGGTGTTTAAAATGGAAATTATTGTATTTCTAAAAACGGTTTCATAACTGTGGCATTTCTGATAAGTCTTAAGTCGCGGTTTCAGATTTATGAAGAAATGTTAGTTTACATGTTAGCTGTTGTGTTTATCTGGGTGTAAACTGTAATGTGTGGACGTTTGGTGGGCCTGTAAGTATAGATTAAATAATCATCATGATCAGAGTAAATGTTGTCACATGTTATTCATCTGGTTTCTCATTTTAGCCAAACCCAAACACAGCCTGCAGGTTTTATAATTCTGAGGTTTGTTATATACTGGATGTTGTCTTTACGGAGGGAGGCTCTTGTGGTGTCTGTTTAAAGTGATGGTGTGAAACCATCTGTGGTATGTGTTGATGTTAAATAGCCAGGTCCATCTACAACTGGTGAGGAAACATTAATTGATGCTATAACGTGTGGCCAAAAAAAACATTTCATTTCTCTCCCTTCCATGAACCTGTTCAGTTTATCTAATTCTAATATATATGTGTATATACTGTAGGTCAGAGTGGTAAACAAAACAAAACTTAGCATTACTACCTTATAGTGAAGGATTAATACATTTTCTGCTTATGATTTGTTTTTTTCGTAGCCAGAATATTGATGAAGTATTGAGTATCTGCTCCCACACGGTTAATGTAATTTAAAAATATATATGTTTTAAGAAAAGTTAGTTTTGAAAGTGGAAATACTTTGGAGTCCATCCATCCATCCATCTTCTCCCGCTTATCCGTGGTCGGGTAGCGGAGGTAGCAGTTCCAGCAGAGAGCCCCAAACTTTCTTTTCCCTGGCCACATCAACCAGCTCTGACTGGGGGATCCCAAGGCGCTCCCAGGCCAGCGAAGAGATATAATCCCTCCACCTGGTCCGAGGTCTACCCCTTGGTCTCTTCCCAGCTGGACGTGCCTGGAACACCTCCCTAGGGAGGCGCCCAGGTGGCATCCTAACTAGGTGCCCGAACCACCTCAACTGGCTCCTTTCGACGCGAAGGAGGAGCGGTTCAACTCCGAGTCCCTCCCGGATGACCGAACTTCTCACCTTATCCCTAAGGGAGACACCAGCCACCCTGCGGTGAAAACCCATCTCGGCCGCTTGTACCCGCTTTGGAGTTTTCAAGCAAAATGACACTATATACAAAACCAATAATTCATAAATCAAATGATTACATACTGTGGTGCATCAACACTGCAAGCATATTATTAGCTACCGTTATTATCCCATCATTATCACTGTGCTTTATGATGAACGTTTTTAGTGAAAACATAAAATTCTACTTTGTTTTATATGTAGACCTGAGACATCAGCTAAGGGCAGTTGAAAGTCTTTCAATTAGTGTACAGTTGTATTAATGTATAAAATAATGTAAATACATTTTTTGTTTTTACATAATGTTTAACATCAGTTATTATTTGTTTGCTTTTACTGTGAGGAAAGTGTTAATGGACAGTAAAATGTCAAAAGGACATAGTTGCCCAACAAAAATGGGAAGTAAATCCTTACAATAAGAGAAATAAATTGATACTAGGCATCTTTGAGCAACTGATAAAAGAGCTTGATAAATAAAATGTATTATTATTCTAATTATTATTGTATTGTATGCGTGTTCAAGATGACTGAAAAACACTGAGTTCATGAGCTGGGTTAACAAGGTTAGGGTCTTCAAAAAATTTGAGAAATGTATATATTTCTGAATTCAAAAGATGGGGTATTTCCTGTCGGTCAATTCTGTTACATCAAGATGGCTTGTTTTTACTAAGAAGGTTGAATATAGGCTGAAAATGCACATTTCACTTTATTTACATTAATTGGGTTTAGATGGAATAAAGACACGATTAATCTGAACTTTATGTTATTATTTGACCATGTTAAATGCTTTTGGCTACATGTTCATGTAGCTAAAAGCCCAGGAATGACTTTGTTTAGGTTTATTCACATTGTGTGACCCACAACAGTAGACATTCCCAACCTGTTTGTAAAAGAAAACTATTTAAAAACAACATGAGTGCTGAATGTTGGTGTCCTACTCAAGTAAGGACACAATTTAGAGATAGTAAAGTTTATTTGTATTTTAAAACACGGAAAAAATTAATACACACCATAAAAAGTAAAAAAGAAGTAGAAGCGCCTTGTCAGAGTGACCCTGTCTTTGGTCAGCATTTGTCTTTTGTTGTTCACGGTAAAGTCCTCAAAGCGTTGCATTACCTGTAGGTTTCAAACAAACGTATGCAATTAACAAAACAAATCAGAGCATCAGTATTGCTTGTTAGGTGATGTTTATTGAGTATGTAAGTCGCTTTGGATAAAAGCGTCTAACAAGTGACATGTAATGTAATAATGTAATGTTTGCCTCACAAAGGCTGTACTTTCCACTTACTTTTCTGAAAAGTTCTTCAATGTCAGCTGAACTGTGTCTGCTCACCTGGCTGAGCAGGTTTCCCAGAGGAAAGACCGAGTGAATCATAAAGTGTTTGATCTCTGCTTTGAAGGAGAGCGATCATCTTCCTGCTGGCATCATCTCCCTTTTTCCTAACTGTGTCAATGAGAACACGTGCTTTGTCTTTCGTGCTAGGATTCTCCTCAAGAATTGAGTCCTTCTGGCCATCATTCAAGACACCAACCTCTAAAAGGCCGTCCAGGAGCTCCTTGATCAGTTCTTTGTTCGCGCTGTCCACAAACTTAACCCTAATCCTGTTCAGCTCATCTAGAAGAGGCAAAAATATATAAGTACATGTATGTCTGTACTAGTGTAGGTCAAAGTCATTGTGCAGTACGGGTTACTTTTTAAATGGGTTACATTGTTAACCCCTGGTTGTGCAGCCTGATGGCTACAGGCCACTAACATTGAATAAGCATACAATAGCATATTATCACTGATATAAATGTGGTAAAGTCATTACCACAAAGTTATATGTTATACAAAAAGCTGATTGATCGAAATTAGTTATACATAAAAAGGCTAAATGGTATTGTTTTATTTTCATTGTATGTTTTATGGACAAACAACGGCAGAAAATAGGACGGATATGAGCGCAAGCAAAGTGAAACTAACATGCATATACTTGCCAGCACACGGTACGGTACAAAAATGCAGAATTACTCAAACTTTACTTTGACAGAATTTGTAGATCAATTTAAATGTATGAAATCACATTCCTCACCTCTACCCTCCTCATTGCCCTCAATACCACTTACAGTAAAAACAGATCGGGTACATTACACTTGCGATCGCCTCCATATTTCCGGCAAATGCACAAAAGTTACTTTTAAAGTTAATTTAGACCGTGAACTCTTACCTGCCATTTCTCAAAATTGTCGTAACACACAGTTGTTTCAATCGAAGAAGGCAAGTTACACGTTACGCGCTCCACAGTTTCCACAGCCTGTGTACAGGGAGGTGCGTAAACTGGTGGAGAAGAGACGTTTCCCTACTTTGCATGATCAGTTCTGCACAGGACTGAGTTTTATTACTGCTGCAGTTTTACAATATGTGGCTCAACCCACAACTGCGATCCAGTCGTCATTGGATAGTTGTAGACGTAATACAGTTTAAAAATGTTCAGTTTGCTCTACATGAACATCTAAGTCAACGTGTGGAGTGAAGAATTTAATGTTGTGTGGCATTTAAAACGTGTTGAATATCCCTGCCAGAAAGGGTGTGTCCTACTGAAGTTTTTTTAAATGCTATAGGTTGAAATCTGCAAGATAGTTTTATGTTTTATGAACAATCAGCTGAGTGCAAGCACTGGGCGTGGTTCAAGGGTCATCAAAAATGTTGAGAGATGTATATATTTCTGAATTCAAAAGATGGGGTATTTCCTATGGGTCAATTCTGTTACATCAAGATGGCTTTTTTTTTTACTAAGAAGGTTAACTGGGAAATATAGGCTGAAAATTCACATTTCACTTTATTTACATTAATGGGGTTTAGTTTGAATAAAGACATGACTAAGTCTGAACTTTATGTTGTTATTTGACCATGTTAAATGCTTTTGGCTACATGTTCATGTAGCTAAAAGCCCAGGGATTTACTTTGTTTAGGTTTATTCACATTGTGTGACCCACAACCGCAGACATTCCCAACCTGTTTGTTAAAGAAAACCATGTTTGTGCTGAATGTTGATGTCCTACTCAAGTAAGGACACAATTTAGAGATAGTAAAGTTTATTTGTATTTTAAAACATGGACAAAATTAATACAAACCATAAAAAGTAAATACCCATTCCATATGAATATTGCACCTATGTTCCAAAAAGTGAGATTAATTATGCACCTTAAGTCCCTAAAATAGTCCCTGCATGGTCAATAAATGCCACCACTTGTGTCCATTTCATTAAAAGGCTTTCACACAACCAATTATATAAAAGTATAAATGATGATATTGATAAATGATAAGATTTCATCAAATATTAACAATTACACGAAAGGCCCCTGGACACAGACATGTAAAAGGCCCGCCACCCCTACTTTAAAAGAGCCAAACACCAACAGTAAAAGAAAGTCAGTTTACATCTCTTCATTTGCCATGCGTCTCTCAGCAGTCTTTTTTGCTCTGCCCCTTTAACCTTTTGGCCTGTACTTGTTAGGCCCATTCAGTAATTCATCCATAAGAATGTTTCCATTTCATCTTATTAACTATTGCATGCATATAATGTGGCTACCAGGCACAACAGGGAAACGACAGTAAATCCGGCCTCAGATGCCTGGAAAGAAGTAGAAGCGCCTTGTCAAAGTGACTCTGTCTTTGGTCGGCATCTGTCTTTTGTTGTTCACGGAAAAGTCCTCGAAACGTTGCATGACCTGTATGTTTCAAACAAACAGTGTATGAAATTAACAAAACAAATAAACCCAGAGCATCAGTATTACTGCTTGTTAGGTGGTGTTTGCCTCACAAAGACTATACTTTCCACTTACTTTTCTGAAAAGTTCTTCAATGTCATCCACGTGTGCAGAGGTGTTCAATACCTTCACAAAATACTGGATGAGAAGAGACCCACGATCTTTTTGTCGGTATGAGACAGTATCTGTAGAATAACATTAAGCTTTAATAATAATAATAATAATAATCACTGTTACATCTGAAAACATTTTAATTAACTGACCAGGAGTGCAGGACAGAAGAGCAAGGAAATCTTTTTCTAATAGCTGACTAATGATCGGGGAGCCTCCTCTGCAGGCCTGGATGGGATGATCTTGGGTTTGTCCAGCAGCGCGGGACATCTCTCCGGACCCAAGTGATGGTAAATGTTGTTGTGCAACTCATCATGCTCTTTCAATTTCTTAGTTTGGAGAACTCAATCACAGCAGCATCAATTTCCTGGGAAACACAAAGACTAGCACAGTCTGTTGCATTTCCCGTGAGTCAGTGAGTTTCACCACTTCGTATCCCAATGCAACGAGCAGTGTGTCCATGTTCTCCTCGTCCCTATCAGCTCCCTTTCGGTTTAAACTGGTATCATTAAACGTTATGTTGGTGATTAACAGGGCCAAACGATGCCTAATGGAATTTTCGGCCGCAGGGTAAGTCTGAAAAACAAATTTAAAAGGAAAGAATTAAGACGAAAATGTACTATACTGTATATCTGATGATATATCAATTGTAGAATTGAACAAGACATCAATTAAAATGACAAATCTACATCTTTCCTTCTGTCCAGAGTCTGAACAAAAACATTTCTGCTCACAACGATGTACATTAATGTCAAAGTATACTATTAGTTTGAATCTAAATAGGGTGAAGATGTCTCTACAGCTGAACTGTGTCTGCTCACCTGGCTGAGCAGGTCCTACTGGCAGAACGTGTTCTCCAAGCTTCTGGCCATCATTCAAGACACGATCTTTGTTTGCGCTATCCACAAACTTAACCCTAATCCTGTTCAGCTCATCTAGAAGAGGCAAAAAAGTTACATTGTTAACCTGTTGTGCAGCCTGATGGCTACAGGCCACTAACATTGATAAACATCCATAGATGTCGTAACAACTTCTTCCGTTGATTACATATCGCACACCATCCTCCTCAAATTCTTCATGGCCAGTATTATGTGAGGCATCGTCACAGGACAAACCGTCTTTAACCAGCACTGATCCTCCCTTTTCTGAAACACATGTGGAATACTGTTAATACACTGCATGAGAGCACCACTCACTCAATCTTTTTCATTGTGTTGTCACAAATATGAATTCCCTACATGTAATTAGCTCAATTACTAACT